AAATTTTTTAAATAGCACTTTTAAAAGAAATACACCTGTATGAAATATACCAGCAGTAAAAGGAAAGGGGTCATCTGTTACCTTCAGCACGATGGTAACATGAACCTTTCATTTTTCATCACTCTATTGAACTGGCACAGAGAACAGAGGGGCGAAGCAGACAGGGGAATAGATATGGATAACAAAATAAAAGAAAGGAAGAGGGGTGAGAGACGAACAGGTGTCTGGAAGAGCATTTGTGGACGAGAGTTAGATATGCTGCTCAACTCGTTATGTCTCAGGGCTAATTACGTTTTGGAGGCAGACATGCATAAGCAAACTTTGAAATTCAAAGTGCAAACAAAAGCAATAAGCTGAACTAATAAATTTACATTTAAGTACAAAAATTTAATCTATATTTTATTAAAATGATATAATAAAATTGAAACATTATATAAACGCTATAAATAAAATGCAAACTGTAATTTGCAATTTAACCCACAATTATAATATATTATAAAAAATAAATGCATAAAAAAGTTCAGACAACTATTGCATAAGTTGATTATAGGCTCATATATGAATAAGAAATACATTATGTTTGTTGTTATTTGCAGTAACAAATAAGTTGCAGGAATCAGTCACAAACTATTAATGGGACTCTAGTGCTTTGAGAACACCGTTCAGGGCAGTGAGTCACTCTATCTCTAGATTGAACTTTATGTCAGTAACCCAGATCCTTGACCATAAGGCTGCGGCAGTCAATTGCCCAGTTTGCAAGGGTTTCCGTAATTCATTCTACATCTTTAATTATTGCCTTTTCCTCAAGTATTATGTAAATACATATGGATATCTCTTATTGATACACTGTAAAAAAAAATCTGTAAAATTTACGGTAAAAAACCGGCAGCTGTGGTTACCGGAAATTTACCGTAAAAAATACGGTAGCAACGTTTTAGGTTTTACGGTTTTAACTTAAATTTACAGTTAAATACCGTAATTTAATTTGATATAATGTTAATATACCAACCTATTGAAGTACTGAAATCTGTTTTGTACCTTTGTAATACACTGATAACCACCAAATGCAGGTGGTGATGAGAGAGTCACATGATGAACCAAAGCCCAACACAAGCAGCTTTTAAATAATAACATATATAGAAGGTGCACAGTGTCATTCATACAAACACCATCATGGTAACACACATGAAACTGAAATAATGCAATAAACATTCATTTAACAACATTAGGTGTAACACACAACCCTAATATACAAAACTGATAAGAAAAAACTAAGAAGAAACATAGTTATTTCAACAAAAAACATACAATTTGAAATGTAACGCAGGGAATTCTGGGAATGTCAATTTACGGTTATTCATTGTAAATTATACGGTATTTTTCACTTCCAAAAACGGTATACTACCGTAAAATTGATGTCCAATACAGATTTTCACCGTATATAGTAGGGGAATTTACCGTTAACCATTTAACAGGCTTTTACTGTAGCATTTTTACAGCCTTTAACCGTTAAATTCACGGTCATTTTTTACAGTGTACAGTTCTATATAGAGTACAAATGCACAAATCTGTACATAAATCTACTGTTCCAGATTCATACATATTATTTCTTGTTAAGTCTCACTATTTAAATGTTTTTTTCTGTTCTCATGTCAGATGTGTATGTATGTATGTATGCATGCATGCATGCATGTGTGTATGTACCAGGAGCATCTGATAAAAAAAACCCCACAATAAATTCCTACTTGCGCACACCTGGCGAATAAAGCTAATGCTGATTCTGATTCTGATCTCTATGAATAGCTCATACACCGGCAAAAACACTAAAAAATGTAAGTTACTTTGAATACTCCCTCAAATTCATCAGGCCTTTTATTCTCACAACTTCATCAACCCATAAAACACTCCTTAAGACGCATAAGACACAGTGTGTGTGTGTGTGTGCGTGTGTGTGTGTGAGTAGGGAGCGCCTGTCTGTCACACTGATTCACACTCAGTTTGTCATCAGAACCAGTTCTTCCTGTAATATTAGACAACCGTAAACGTGTTGTGAAGCTCTTTTCCTAAACTCTTAACCCCAAATCCTGCAACATGTTTTAAAATGTTTCCAATTACACTAGCAATGTATCCATTATATGTAAAATGTCTCACCTGAGTTCCAGATGATCAACGCAGCAAGAATATATGAAACTGTCTTCATCGTCCACCAGTTCAGACTTTCAGCTGAGCCCAGGTTATCAGTTTGGCGATCTCAATGTGATGGTCATTATTAATATACCAAATGTGTGTCCGTCTCAAGAGCTAGTTGTATTCCCAATCAATCCAATCGATCATAGATGTCGGTCAGGAGATGTTGGAGAAGAGGAGGCTCCCATGGGCTGTGAAGAAGATCAGGTGGTGGAGATCCAGCGCAGAAAAACGAAATCACTCTGCGTTCAGAATCAACATCTGCGATATATCGATTAATTCATTTGAAGTACAAAAAATAAGAAAAAGGAATCGACATCAATAAATACAATGTTTATGTATTATATCCAGAAAAGTGAACGGATCTCCAATGCGCAAGTCCTCAAGGGAGCGCACAAAAAATGTACTCCAGTTGATTGCGTTTTCGTATTATTTTAAGATCTACGACATGTTGAGAAAAAAAAACGAAGTATTTCCATTATTCTTCCGAGGTTCGTGTTGAAATTGCGTGAAAATGCTCTGAGAAGAAAACTTCTTCCAGACACCTGTTGGGAAAGGCAGCTCTCCACATGTTGTTACGCGCTCTGCTGAACTCAACTTTCCAGTTTTTAATCCGGGTGTTTCTTCCCAATCTGATGATTCAATCTAGCTACTGGTTTAATATTCTGTAATTGCTTAATCGTTTGAGATCTTTAATGGTCGATTTCACTTTAACATTTTTTTTTCTGCCATAATGATATAGTGAAAAAACAACTTTATTCTGAAAAAGACACCAGTGACTTGTTATTTCCCCTGGATAAAACCAAAAAAAGCAATACGGAATACTAAAATAAATTTGTGAAGGAATCCTATTTTCATTTCTTCTCAAATTTAGAACAAATAATTCTACGAATGAAAATGCTCTACAAAGTCTTTCAGAACATAGATAACAATTTGACTTGTGATTAAAAATATATTTAAAGACCTTTTAGAATAAAAAAAAAAAAACACAGCCCACTTTGTGCAGATGTGTATGTATGTATGTATGCATGCATGCATGCATGTGTGTATGTACCAGGAGCATCTGATAAAAAAAACCCCACAATAAATTCCTACTTGCGCACACCTGGCGAATAAAGCTAATGCTGATTCTGATTCTGATCTCTATGAATAGCTCATACACCGGCAAAAACACTAAAAAATGTAAGTTACTTTGAATACTCCCTCAAATTCATCAGGCCTTTTATTCTCACAACTTCATCAACCCATAAAACACTCCTTAAGACGCATAAGACACAGTGTGTGTGTGTGTGTGCGTGTGTGTGTGAGTAGGGAGCGCCTGTCTGTCACACTGATTCACACTCAGTTTGTCATCAGAACCAGTTCTTCCTGTAATATTAGACAACCGTAAACGTGTTGTGAAGCTCTTTTCCTAAACTCTTAACCCCAAATCCTGCAACATGTTTTAAAATGTTTCCAATTACACTAGCAATGTATCCATTATATGTAAAATGTCTCACCTGAGTTCCAGATGATCAACGCAGCAAGAATATATGAAACTGTCTTCATCGTCCACCAGTTCAGACTTTCAGCTGAGCCCAGGTTATCAGTTTGGCGATCTCAATGTGATGGTCATTATTAATATACCAAATGTGTGTCCGTCTCAAGAGCTAGTTGTATTCCCAATCAATCCAATCGATCATAGATGTCGGTCAGGAGATGTTGGAGAAGAGGAGGCTCCCATGGGCTGTGAAGAAGATCAGGTGGTGGAGATCCAGCGCAGAAAAACGAAATCACTCTGCGTTCAGAATCAACATCTGCGATATATCGATTAATTCATTTGAAGTACAAAAAATAAGAAAAAGGAATCGACATCAATAAATACAATGTTTATGTATTATATCCAGAAAAGTGAACGGATCTCCAATGCGCAAGTCCTCAAGGGAGCGCACAAAAAATGTACTCCAGTTGATTGCGTTTTCGTATTATTTTAAGATCTACGACATGTTGAGAAAAAAAAACGAAGTATTTCCATTATTCTTCCGAGGTTCGGGTTGAAATTGCGTGAAAATGCTCTGAGAAGAAAACTTCTTCCAGACACCTGTTGGGAAAGGCAGCTCTCCACATGTTGTTACGCGCTCTGCTGAACTCAACTTTCCAGTTTTTAATCCGGGTGTTTCTTCCCAATCTGATGATTCAATCTAGCTACTGGTTTAATATTCTGTAATTGCTTAATCGTTTGAGATCTTTAATGGTCGATTTCACTTTAACATTTTTTTTTCTGCCATAATGATATAGTGAAAAAACAACTTTATTCTGAAAAAGACACCAGTGACTTGTTATTTCCCCTGGATAAAACCAAAAAAAGCAATACGGAATACTAAAATAAATTTGTGAAGGAATCCTATTTTCATTTCTTCTCAAATTTAGAACAAATAATTCTACGAATGAAAATGCTCTACAAAGTCTTTCAGAACATAGATAACAATTTGACTTGTGATTAAAAATATATTTAAAGACCTTTTAGAATAAAAAAAAAAAAACACAGCCCACTTTGTGATTTGCTTTAACTATCCAGTATCCATGCATTATTCAAATATATGTGGTCTTCTGTTAAAGATTTCCCAATATCCAATGAGATCCTGCTGGATAAACTACAAAACATATCTGTATTTGGATTAATTAATTTTTGCAAGTGTGGTGACATAATTAGCATGTGTATGAAAGCTACATGAATCTACCAGACGTACCGTATCTGGTTGCATTCTTGGCCTAAAGGAAAGAGAGCACCAAAAACTGTAAACCAGTTCTCCCTCCTGAAAACAGTTAAAGCCTCAGGCACTTTTACAGAGTTCGTTGACCCAGCCTTTGTTAATTTCGTCCATGACTTGCTTTAACTGACCGCCGTGACTTGTAAGATAAAACTGAGGATGTGAAATGGCTGTGTTAAATAAACACTCACCTTTAAATTTGATCTTAAAGATCTAATTTTTATTATATCTATTTGAAGGAAATACTTGCCTGTACAGGATGTAGTGTGCGTCTGTTCTCAGCATAGCACCTCTGAATCTGCTTGTGAAGTTTCTTTACATCCTACACATAATGAAACAAAAAATGTAAGTCTGATTCAATTCAGTGATTGAACTTTAAAGAAGGAATTCTGTGTTTAAGTGAGTCATACATTTGATTCTGCAAACACTGCTACGCATCATACAAATGTATTCATTTATTAAAATGATGCCTTTTACTGAAGTTGATGTTATTATAATGGCCACTAAAAAGCACTGGGCTTCATCTTACCTTGAGCACCATGAGGTTATCAAAGCTGCAGTCTATGACCAGCCTGAGAGAGCTGGGCTCTGCTGACCTGCACAAACGCTTCTTTCCAGTCCACTCCACTCCATCTTCAGCCTGCACTTGTCTCTCCAGTTTCCTCTGCTGTTTTCTCTCTTTACGCTTCTGTCTTTACATAAAACAAGGAACAATTAAAGGAGTCATATGATGTTGCTAAAAAGAACATTATTTTGTGTATTTGGTGTAATGAAATGTGTTTATGCGGTTTAAGGTTCAAAAAACATTTTCCACATACTGTACATCATTGTTTCTCCTCTATGTCCCGCCTTTCTGAAACGCGTCGATTTTTACAAAGCTCATCGGTCTGAAAAGCGAGGTGTGCTGTGATTGGCCAGCTATCCAGTACGTTGTGATTGGCCGAACATCTCAAGCGTGAGACGGAAGTGTTGCATCGCGCCGCGTAAACATAAAACCATGTCTGCATTTGTGATCGGAGAAATTACAAACAACAAGTGCTACTCTACACTGCCCAAAAAACTTGCGTTTGAATCGTTAGTGGCAAATTCTTTAAATATAAAAAAACGTACTTACAGTCTGTGAGTCAGAACAGCTGGCATTGTAGTCTACTCTACCAGGATCAGAAAACAGTCCTCCATAAAATGCGCTGGACACATCTGAATATTTGGGTTAAACTGTTCTGGAACAATGTTGTAAATAAAACGTAAGCACTGATTTCTAGTCGTGTCCTCTTTTGGAAGGCCAAACAAAGCAGTTTCGCTTTCACAACGAAACAGCGGCACACACCGCGGCCTTGAGAATGCGGAGGCCAGCTTGAGTGAGTGGTGGCGGGCTTGAGAACGGTGCGGCCGGCGGATTCGACGAAGGAGCGGCTGGCTGGCTTGTGGCAACCACATGTGACGACCCCGGGCTGGACTCCGCTTCGTCCACGGTGAAAGCCGATCCGGCGATCCACAGCGTGAAGTTGATGCATTTCCTCAGCGACCAGCACGGATTATCTCCAGGCATGACGAAGCGGATATCGTCCTCTTTTGGAAGACCAAACAAAGTAGTTTCGCTTTCACAACAAAACACACAGCTCCTTCACGACATGGCGGCGGCAACAACAATACTACAGCGAGAATAAAAGTTACGCCTTCTTTCTTTGCCTGAACATTTGGGCGGAGTTATGCAAATCTTCCCACATCGTGACGTAGACATGTGGGGGCGTGTTAGAACGAGCCGTTTTAGGTAGGCGTGGCTGACTCTTAACTTTTATAAAGAATATCTCTTTGGATTTGAGACTTTAGTCTTTGCAACTTTACAGACCTTCTTTATGCACCAAGAGCTTGTAACACTCCAAAGAGAAAGGAAAAAAAAAAAAATCGCATCATGACCCCTTTAAAGCTCCTAATAAATAAAATACTATCTAAAACCGAAACTAAAATTCTATATATAAAAAAAATTGTTATTGAAAATGTTCATTATTGAAACGTCGCTAAAATAAAGCAAAAGATAAATATTGCCTGAAAAACTCATTAGAAATGTTGCCTTGGTAACTAACTGAAATAAAAGTACTACAGCTAAAACTGAAATAAAAATAAATATAAACTAGATATTATACAGAAATATTACAAAAAATAAATAAATAAATAAAAAATAAGCACATTAAAAATATTAATAATATAATATTATATAAATAATAGTAAAATTACACAGCTTACTTGCGAAGTTCTCTCTGTTCTTCCCATTGTTGATTCTTGAGAAGTCTCTTCCTTTGTCTTTTAGACAGTGTTTCAGTTTCTCCAGTCTGTACGGTCTCATTTTCATCCTTTGCAGATTCATGTTCACTGTTCGCACATTCATGGCTGCTCTCCTGCACAGCAGGTGTATCGGCCATATCGGTGGCCATTTAATGTGAAGATCCTGGAGCAGCATCAACGAAACAAATGTTAACTTTAAAAAAAAAAATGTATTCAACATATTTGGATACTTCCATCACGACTGAGGAAAAATGACTGACCATTCAATTCAAATTCATAATTGATTTGGGCTTGAAAAAGATGATAAATCGATGATAATAGTTTTGATGCAATTTGAGGGGGAGATGCTAAAACGCATTTTTTTCAGGAGCCTTATAATAGTAGGTAAGCAGATTTTAATAAAGGATAATAACATGTAATAGCAGAACTTCTTAAAGGCACAATATGTAAGATTTTTTTATTAAAATATCCAAAAACCACTAGAACAGTGCTATATATTTTGCTGACTTGTGTACTTACATTATCCCAAATATTTTGAAGAATGTTTCAATCCAGAGAAATAATCAGTTTTAACTAGTGACACGGACCGTGTCCATAGCGTCATTGTGTCGCCTGCTAATGACGTCACAACCCCTCGGTTTCCGTTTTGTAGAAAACATGGAAACACCAACGACGCTTTAATATGCTGTGCGTTTTAATAGACCGGTAACGACAGCACAGAGTAACATTGTAACAGAACTTTCAAATGTATCTAGTATGATAAAACAGCGCTGCTTTACCCCACATACGCACGACCGGAAGGAGCGGAAGCAGTCGACTGTGGCATAATAAAAGCTCTGCTGCTTTCGAGCCGTGTGTCGCGCTCAGCGGCCTCGCTTCGCTTCGACGGCTTTCAGCCTCACCCTGCTTCATTCTACTACGTTAATAAATCATTAACTCATGATTTCTGCCTGAATCCCGTGGGATTGCATCGGCTGTGGGGATGAAGACCACAACTCCCATGATTCCACACTCAGGCGTCAACAAACTACACCTTTGCCTCTTTGTTTATTTTGAATACGCGCCCTCTAGCGGTGAAAATTACATATTGTGCCTTTAAGTGAATGGTTCAATTTCCTATTATACACGCAAATGGGGACACCGGTCAGTGAGTGAATCTTTAAAGAGAACCGATTCAAAAGATCCGAGTCACTGAAATGAATCTGCACTCAAACAAACAAATGAATGGCTACACACCGATCAAAACAAACACACACACATTGTTGGATCAATTTTCGACACAATTTGCAGTCACTATATGCGCGTTTAATCACGATTCTGATGCCTAGAAAAGCTTTCTCCCAAAGGCAGCAGCTCACAACCTTAATGTCACTTTTCCCTGCAGTATGAGCTCTGACAGGTGTTTTGTTGTAGCAAGGTGTTACTTTCATATTATTTAACATGTAAACCAGGTTAACGTAAGACAACTAACGGTTACATTTCAATAAGTTCACAAATATCAGCTGTTTTCAGAGTCTTTCTATCAAAAATAACGCAAAAACAAAGGGGACCTTTAAACAAGCATTTCGACATACGCTTTAAAATGGCTCATATAATAACGACAACTGCGAATAGCAAAATTACAAATGTGAAAGAGTGAAGTACCTCTAAACTGCTCTTTGCAGTGGCGCTTTCATCTCATGCGCTGCTCGCTAACGCGGCGTCATTTAAAAGCGACTCGTTCAGCGTGGGAGCGTCAACAGTTCGCCATGTTGGTGAGGGCAAGTGAGGGCATTCAGGAAGTAGAAATAATAATAATAATAATTACATCTCCGTAATCCTTTTTACGTTTTTCTAGGCGGAAAAAAAATAATGGCCTTATGAATCTGCCATATGGTGTGAATAATCATATATCGCATATACTATATATAAAATACACTTATTTCACACTGATCAATAACTTTAATGTATATAGAAATATTATCCAACAAGATTTATTCCAAAGAGAAATAAAGCATCCAGGGTGAAATATTTTAACTGTGAAATATGAATTGTATAATGTTAAGCTATACAGATTTTCTGAGGGAAATGTTTTATGATGCTAACAATATCCCCTTTAAGATTCTAAAGAGAATTATTTATGACAAAACAGGGTTGGCGTTAACCATAATTCATAAAGTAACAATAGTTATGCAAACTAATGCAAATATAGCTTTCTGTGCTGTTCCTAAACACAAATATGATATGGTACAGTATGTGTGACTGTTCACAGCATGGCTTGCAAAATACCCTCCCAACATGTAATGTCACACCAGATTATGTTTCATGCACAGGTGGCCTAACTGGAATATTCTGCCATCCTCATAGCATTGCCACATGGTAACAGTGGCAGAAAAAAGGCTACAAAAGTTATCGTGAAATTTGTGTGCAGAATTAGCATTTTTTATTTAATATAATTTAAATTAAAAAATGTTTTATTTAAACGTAATTTGATTTTCTAATTTAATTGATTACACTGAATGTGATTTTTTAAATGTCATTTCATTATTCAATTTAATTTAATTTGTACATTTAATTTAATAAGGAGTAAACAAAAAAAAATCAATGTCTTCGCAGTTATTTCGTTTATAGTTTGTTTAACCTGCTGCTGCTGTGGTCTACAAGAAAACCGAAAGTAAAATTTTAAGGAGAAGATCTAAAAATGTGTTCACAGAAAATAATATAAAAACTTTGGTAAAATTTTGTGTGTTTTATACAGATATCCTGTTAACAGCCTTAACAACAGTATCAATTTAAGTGCCTATTCCTAACATTGGATATATATTGGCCAATATTGGTTATATAATTGTGTACACACTTTAAGATTTTAGCATCATCTAATGCTCACTCAAAATTAGTCTTGAAAAAACACAATTTAATAATACTGTTAAATGAAATAATATCTGTTTTTCATACTGTATATTATATCGGTGTGATGCCTAATTTAACTTATATCATTTAAAATGATCAACTTTAGTTTTTAGTGTTTTAATTTATTTTAAAAAAGGTGAAAATAATAATAACATGAAAATAATTATCACCAGAATTTTATTATCTGTGCATCCCTAGCTGTTGTACTCTCATTTCCCTGACATTATTCTGAAGATGCTTAGTGATTTTTTTACAATAATCCATACAGTAAATGCACATTCAAATAGCCTTCGGGAAAAAAAATCCAATGAAGAAAAATCCATCCACTTCTATAAAGATTTGATAAGCAGAGAGTAAAGATTCACAAAATGAAGCAAGTGGGATAATGAACAGAAACAAGTGGGCCACAAATAACAATGGGAGAAGAGTGGGTGATTTCTTGATGAAGATGATGAAGGAGATTCAAAAATATAGTAAATAAGTTCAGCAAAAAAATGTAATCAACTCAGTGAAAAGATGACTCGTGTGGCTCCTGCGTAAAACAAAACAAGAATGACATTAAAAACATCAGCATTCTTCTGTGAGCAATGCGAACACAGTTATCAGCTAACAGGTTAGTTATTCAGGCCGTACTTAAAATCAAGCATGATCTTCATGTGCCTCTAAAACCATTCGCTCGCTAATAGCTGGATTATAGGTCATTAAAATTGTGCAGTTCCTGCATCTCATATTACCCCCCTGTGCCGTCCGATCGCACGCCGGCTGATTTGGTTGTATAATATCCCTCAGGCAAAGCTTCTGGCCCGCCTCCGTGTCTTTCCCTTTAACATAAGGCTGTCCTATAAAAAGGTGACCTGCCTGCGCCCCAAGTATCTCAGAACGAGGAGTCTTGATATCCAGCAGCAGCTGGCACAACACTGTATCAGCACAAACACATGCCACAAACTAGCTGACCTTTCTCTCCTCCCACTGCTGTGCCAACAATGCCACGCCTCTTCCCTTCTGCCCGCGGGCAGACGCCATGCCACCCCCTGCTCTTTAGAGGTCTTATCTTAACAACATCCTCCATACTATAGACATACAGTAGCTCTTGAGGAAACAGAACAGTAGTCATGTATTTTGAGGGTGCTATTTTATGACTGGGGCAGGAGACGTTAACATAAAATCTTTTTTATTAAAAAAAAAAAATAGTGCACACATGGTACAATAAGAAAAAAGGTACAAAGCTGTCACAGGAGTGATACCTTGAAATACAAAAGCTAAAAGGAACATCTTTGTACCTTATTTGCCCCTAAACGGTACCTTAAAGGTACACATTAGTGCTTTAAAATGATGTTTTAGCACTTTAAAAGTACATATTAGAACTTAAATTGTACATATCTAAATGTACAAATGTTATGTCTACAGGTCTTATCCATAACATATTTTTATTAAAGGGGTCATATGATGCGATTTCAAATTTTCCTTTCTCCTTGGAGTGTTACAAGCTCTTGGTGCATAAAGAAGATCTGTAAAGTTGCAAAGACTAAAGTCTCAAATCCAAAGAGATATTCTTTATAAAAGTTAAGAGTCAGCCACACCTACCTAAAACGGCTCGTTCTAACACGCCCCCACATGTCTACGTCACTATGTGGGAAGATTTGCATAACGCCGCCCAAATGTTCACGCAAAGAAAGAAGGCGTAACTTTTATTCTCGCTGTAGTATTGTTGTTGCCGCCGCCATGTCGTGAAGCGAAACTACTTTGTTTGGCCTTCCAAAAGAGGACGATATCTGCTTCGTCATGCCTGGAGCTGATCCGTGCTGGTCGCTGAGGAAATACATCAACTTTGCACTGTGGATCGCCGGATCGGCTTTCACCGTGGACGAAGCCCGGGGTCGTCACATGTGCTTGCCGCTCCTTCATCGGATCCACCGGCTGCGCCGTTCTCAACCCCGCCGCCTCTGCTGTTTAACCCAGATGTGTCCAGCGCATTTTATAGAGGACCGTTTCCTGATCCTGGGAGAGTAGACTACAATGCCGGCTGTTCGGCTGTTCTCTGTAAGTAAGTTTTCATATTTAAAGAATTT